ATTATTCTCATTCAAAATACTTCTTTTTTATTTAATACAATAAGATTTTTTTTTATCACACTGAAGTTGTTTGAAACTTCTTGCATCTTTTCTTCCTGCATTTTATAAAAAAGATGTTCTAAGGAAAAATTAGCTGTTATCATTTTCTACCTCTAAATCCATTTTTATCTGGACTATTTAATCCTCAACATTTAGGATTTGACAGAGAGCTATGAAAACTACAAATTGTGTAGATTAAAAATATAGTTTGTAGATGAAAAAGTTTGTGTTCACTATCATCTGCTCACATTTTCTAAACATGAATGAGATTCTGTAAAGTTTCCCAGTTCACTGTTTTCAAGCTTTATGAGGTTTGACAGGTCAGTTGCAAATATGAAAACCCAAGTATGATTTTGCAATTTTTTCAGAGGTTATTAATTAAGTAATTCTAATCTCATTCCTCTGTGTAACAAGAGGAATTCTTATACTCATTCTGAAAATAATATTGCTGTTTTCTCACTTCTAAACAGTGTTCACTAGGTATTTTCAAAACCAGTATTTTAGGCTGCATTGTGAATATTAATGAAGGAAGAGGCAAACCCAAAAGAGTGTGTCACATGCAGAGGATATTCTTTGCTTGTGGCTTTGTTTTGTTTTGTTTTTCTTCTCACTGTATAGTCTACATAGGCAAATAAATTAAAAAGCTAGAGATTACTATAAATAAACAGGGAGTAATATGTAAGGTGCATTTTTAAAATGGGTTTGAAGTTAACTTGGCCGTCATCACAACAGTCACAGCCTCCACTGACATTCTGGCACCAGAAGATGTAACCCAGGAAGCGTGGGCACCTCACCTAGTGGTGACATCTGCTTCCTCTCCTGAGGGTGCCCACCACAAAGAGCCAACTCAAACGCCTCTGCCTTCAGATGATGAACCAGGACAGGGCACTGAGGACATCACACATCCCATGGATACACACGGAGATGAAGGCCTCCACAGAACTACCTCCAGTGTGACCACAGCTGGTAATGACTCTTTTCTGATGGGTATCAGCAAGAATAATGGATCATTCTCATTTCTCATGCCTGGTGTGAAATGAGACATTATCTCTGCTGAAGATAACTCCTTTCACTATCTTTCTCATCCTGGGGATCTTCATTCTTAGCGTGAACTTGCAGTGAAAAATCTGGCATAGGATCTGTGAACAAGGCCTGAGGGACTCCTTGCTCCTTCTTGCTGGTGTACTTGGTGGTTTCTGACCTTTGCTGAAGCATGTTTTTGGGTGATCTCCCAAATGTTCTGTGAGAAATGCACTTTGGTGGTTCTGAATCCCCAGCCTGATCTTCCTTTCTTGTGCATCAGTGGGATTAGGCTGGATATGCTTTGGTACCATGACTGGTATGGTGGAGGTGCTCTGGCAGGCTAATCAGATGACTTGATCCTACAACTCAGCAGCAGCACCATCACTGGGCAGTGGTGTCCCAGTGGTGAGGGCAGTGCATTCATAGAAGAATTGCATTCCTTAAATTCTGCCATCAGTTTCTTACTTCACTTCCCCTGTGTATTGCCAGGCAAAACTGACAGAGGTGAGGCCACTCAGTCCTGAGTCACAGGGTCAGGTTGTTGCTGCTAAAGTCTCTTCTTCTAAAGGTCTCCCCTTTCCCTCTGTCACTGGGATCTGTGTATGTCACCAGCATCCTGCTCCAACATGCTGAGCATAGATGTGGAGCTTCAGGGTCTCTCAGAAGCCAGTGACAGTGTGGAAGAAGAAGGAGAGGCCTTCATGTCTTCTTCCCTCCTTCTGTGCTTTGCATGAGGAAGGTGAAGGTGCTTTCTGGCTTGCTGTGGCCCAGGAGATGATGTGGGTGGTGGTTTTTGTGAGTGCTCCCTGATCATGCCACCATCATGGCAATCATAGAGTCCGTGGATGACGCTGACCAAGAGAAAGCAACCAAGGAGCCACTGGCACCTGGCACTGCACCAGGAAGGGAAAGTGAACCGGCAAACACCACCGATGGTTTCCATGTCCATGGGATACCTGGAGTTTTTTCAGACATTGAGGACCGTTTCATTCCCTTGCAGACTACTCATACTACCAGTAAGAACAGTGAATTATAACCATTTTCATTTATCCATCAGTAAGTTGTTGTTGTGGACAATGGTTATTGTCCAAAAATGTGTACTAAGCATAATTGTAAATGATTGTCATATTATGATTTCCTTTTTGGGTTTTGTTATTGGTTTTAACCTGCTGATAAGATGTCATGAATGGTATCTCTTTCTAGCAAAAGCATTGTGTAAAGGCTGTAAATAGTGTTTTGCAAATAAACTTTTCTTATATTCTGTTATCAGCATGTGGTAACACAACTACTGAAATGAAGAAATGAAAACTTTCTGTTCATGCCCATATATTTGTGATAGCATTTTGTCTTTCTTTTTTTTTTTGCTGGGCACAAATGACAGCTATGTAACCCTTAAGTATCTGTCACTTTCCCCCCATTTGTAACCTTTTAAATTAGCTGAATAAGTACAAAAGAAAGGTAATTCTCTGTGACATCATTTTTTTTTCCTAGCTGTATGTGCTCTTGGTATCTTTCCAGTGATTAGTTGTAGCTGTTACTGGGCTGTAACTGACATTTCTTTTGTGAACAGCCTTGTTTTTCAAAGGGTTATTCTTCTGATGAAGTTACTGCAGTTAACAGTGTTTGCCTATTATACTACATACAGCCTTTGGTATTTTTTTTGGATGTGTGGTCACATGCTAATAACATGGGAAATGAAGGGACTTTTCCATATTCCCAAATGTAGTTTCCCCACAAACAACCATCCTAAAAGTAAGGGATTTTTTCCCATTTCAGCTAATCCAAACACTGTTTTCATGCACTTTCTTGGAAGTTAATGGAACCATTCCAGAGCAGAATTTCGCCAATGCTCTGTGGACATTCATTGCATATAAACAAGATTATGTACCTATATTTTACAAGATTATACAGAAAACACTTGAAAATTAATTCTTTTAATAATTCATTAGTACTAATTATTATACTGTGAGGTAGAACTTGGGCTAATTATTTTTCCAAGAATTTTGTATAAACCAGTAAATTCAACTCTAACAAAATTGCCTGGTTATAGTATTTTGATGTAGGCATAGGACTATGAAAGCAAAATATGTATTTGTCAGAATGTTAACAATGAAATCTGTTTTAAATAATGTCTTCCTACTAAAACACATTTCTTTCATTTCACAGGCCCTATTCACTTAATTAATTTAAGCTCCCTTCTTAATTTTATGTGTAGACATTACACACTATGAAAAAAAGTTTGCTGCTTTTCTGTTTTAATCACATAAAACCTGTAAGAACAGGTTTGAATCTTTTCCAGTGGGAATATCTTTTTCAATGGGGGTATTGTCAGTACCTTGGCAAAAAACTCAGAAGGCCATTTTCTCAAAACTCTTTCTTTTTTCATTTGCCTTCTCTTGTCGCATTTTAACACAGTTTATGGGAGTTACTAAGACATTACCATTGTCATCAAAAAGCTTATTGAAGGGTTCATTCATTTGTAATGTTGCCCAGTATAGGTGAAATGGAATGGAAAAGATTCATGAATGTATTGTTAAGCCCTTCTCTGATCAAATGAATGGTTTGATGTACTGTACCACTTTTTTTCTACAGCAATGTTTAAGCTGTGGTCAGACCACACCAAGTGCCCACAGCATAACAAGTCAGTCCAGTGAAGGGACACAAAAAAATAACTGTCCATAAAGAAAAAAAATCAGTGTGTTACCAAAATGAAATGTACAGGGCTTTTGAGGTTCCCTCCCTGCCGCTTGCAAGCACCTCCCCAGAGCCAGAACAACAGGGAACGTGGCTGACCCTTGCTGCTGCTTCTCAGTGCTCAGGGGAGCAGCAAATGTAGCAGGTTTCTAAGCACACAACTTTTAATAAATGTCTGAATGCCTTTATAAGGGGTTTTGTGGAGGAAAAGCTCAAAAATCTGCTGAGATGTAGTGTAGACAAGTTAGTAGGTCCCTCTTGGTCAGCTTTCTATGCTGCTAGATCAAGGTTCTTCATTGTTGAATTTGTTCTCTGTCCTTTGTTGTGAGATAGTACCAAAAAACACGCCAGTCAATAAGTTTCTTGTTAACAAAAATAATAAAAACATCTGGAAAATTCATGAGCTGCTTGCTGGCTGTGCTTCACAGAGGGAATAAAACATGCTTCTCAATTTTGCATTTGCCAGCTGTTACTAGGAAGTGAGATCAGAAATATTGGACAGAAATTAGTTGTAATTTGTGATAAAGAAAAAGAACTTTACAGCTGATTAGAGTTAGTGTTTAATTTCTTAGAGTCTGGAAGAATTCAGAGAGGTGGAGATCTGTCATGTATTTTTTGTAGTGATAATGAAATTACTGTATCTATAGTCTGCTGATAATTTTAGACTTGGGATACCTTTATGGCAATAGCATGGGCCAGGAATGTAATTGCCTAAAAGTTTAAGTAGTATGACCAGCTTAGAAAATATAAGAGACTGATTAAAGGTCTAATACCATCTTGGAACCAAATTACGCAACTTATTAAAAAGGACAAGAGGATCCACTTCTAAGTTTGCAGAGAACACTTTTTTCTATTAGGAGAAGAATACTTTTAATTTTTAGAGTCCCACTCTAGCTGCCAAAGTCGCAAGCATTCAGAGAACTATTGTTCAATTTTATGACAACATTAGAGTATTAGAGGTTCAGTTTTATCCTATGTCAGAATAGAATTGAAACATATGAGGGAGACAAGTGGGGAAAGCCATGAGTTTTGCTTCTCAAAATACTAAAGCTAGCCATAGTTCAGATGAGTGTCGTGCTTATAGTCTGTGTGATAATTTTCATTATAAACACTCATTAACTGCTTCAGCATGGACTTTCCAGAATATGATTTTTACACTGTTTAAGTTGCAGTCTTCATACATTGCTGTTAAATATCCATCAAGCATTTTTGGCTTAATGGCTGGGTTTTTTTTTGTTCTTTAGGCTCTACCTCTAATGTGTATGATAACCAAGGACCACACAAGGGACATGATGAATCCACGACTTCCCCTGGAGGGACTGCCACAACAAAAACAGATTCAGAAACAAGGTCGGCCCGTGTACCAGGTGGGTTTTGGAAGTCAAATGTTTTAAAAATCCAATGACAGAATTGTCTTCATATGAACTGAAGTAAGAGATGGAAATGAAGGTCAAATGCTTCGTTCAGGCTTTGTTCTGGATCAGATTGTATTCAGCATTTCACAAGTAGTCTGAAAGACAGCATATTGTAACTCATATAGTTTTTCAGCAATATTAAGATAAGAGAAACCATACATTTGGGGAGTGGAATTTAGATTCAATTAACTTTTATAAACTGAAATTAAATCAAGCAAAACTTGGTAAAGTTATATGCATAGCATCATATCCATGAGAATGTTCAGCTAAGACAAGCTCTCCAGAGGAGAGTGTGCAGACTAAAATAGAATAAAAAGAAGCCAACACCATGATACAACTGCAAAAGAATGTGAATATATTCTGGGACTTATTAGTGGCAAAGTAATTTTTAAAACAGAGAAAGTAATTATCCCACTGTACTTAGGCCTAGCAAGTCCAGAGGTGAAACTCTGTGTTCAGTTCAAGGCATTGCATTAGTCACAGGAAAAAAATGGACAAGAGCACACAGAAAATTTTGGGAAGGTAACCTTTGAAGTACCTTTTGAAGAACTCATCATTTGCAGGGAAAACTGAAGGGAGATATAAGAAAAGCATGCTATGAAAAGAATGCCTATCAGTTTTTCACCATGGAGTACTAATAATTAACTAATTAGAAGAGGTAATTTGTTGCAATTTAAATGTATGAGTCTTGTTAAACTAGGAACGGTTGTTTCAAACAAAGAAAATACAGGGCATAGCTCTTGGGAGAGGACCCCCATCTGTAATGGTAGCAGAGCTATAATGGTAGTAGAAAGTAGGCTACTGGGAAGGTTGTGAAAACTGCTTTGCTAAAAATGTGCTAAAACTCATCCTGCTTCTGTGCCTGAGACTGTAGGTGTGTCATGCTGATCTTTTTCTTTTGCCACTGGAGTAAATCAGTGAAACAGCTCCTCTTCACCTGTGCCCACTAAAGTGCTTGCAGGTGACAGCAGTGATGGAGTATTTAATGTGAGCTGGCCTGTCTATAGCTGAGTGATGAAAATGTGTTTGATTTGCACGGAAAGACTTTGTACACCAAACAAACATTCATGGAAGCTAGGAAAAGAGTGTGACAGCTTATGGGAAGTAGAAGAGATTGTGTTTCTGCAGTTCTGTGAGATGGCAAAACCACATGAGATACATTCACACTCTCTTGCCCTCCCTCATCTGTCCCTGCAGACTGGCTGATCATTGTTGTTGCTCTGGTGGTGCTTGCATTGATCCTGGCAGTGTGCATTGCTGTCAACAGTCGCAGAAGGTAAGGCCACCCCTTTACATTTCCAAAACACGCTGCCTCACTTCCCTCTTCCTTTGGAGAGTCCCCAAAGCTTTCTCAAAGAGCAGGGTAGCAAACCACAGGAAAGAGCATTCTCTGCAAAGCTCTGTGGCTTGTGGTGTGGGGACCCAGGTCACCATGTCCTGCACAGGTCACACATCAGCCTCCACACTCACCTGGAACCACTCCCATGAAGTCAGCAGCTACATGAACTGTTTAGTCTGGGAAAGGGAAACTAACTGTACATAGATCACAGAAAAATGATTAGCCTCTCTCTATTTGTTATCAATGGGAAAATTGTGTTCACAGAGAGTAGAAGTTGTGAGATAAGCACAGATAGTAACAACCACAGGATGAGCCAGGAATAATCCTCCACCATTAAAGCATTGTCTGTGTGCAGTGTGAAGGGCTATCCTAGATAATCACAGCCATTCTGTGAAAACCTGCTACTCTGTTTCTTCTGAACAAGAGCCACTATCACAGCTGGCAGTCACAAGCGTATATGCTAACATTGCTCTCTGAGCTCTCAGGAGCTTTATGTACTCCATTTTACAGATGAGGAAGCTGAGGAGTGCAAAGTAATGCAATGATCTGTGTGAAGTTAGCTGGGAAATAGGAAAAACCCTAGCCTAAAGGATGGGCTATAATATTATTACCTCTTTCTTTTCTCTGAGCCTGTGCTGAGGTTACTTGCCAATTGTCTTCAACAGCTTTTTGCTACTTGAATGTTAAAATTGAGCTTTTTAACAGAGTAACTATTTGCTACTTGAATGTTGGATTTTAGCTCCTTTTTCATCATAATGACCATATAATATGTGGAGATTTTTGTGCAGGAAGCAGTGAGCACATTTTTTCCTAGTCTGTTGGTTGCAGAGCACTCCGAGCTGCTCTTTTAAGAGGCTCTGGAGCTCCATAGCTCCTTGCTGGTGTCTTTTGGCATTTTATGACTGCAGAGCAGGAAATCATTCCCAAGGGTGTGTGTAGCATTAGCAGAGTGAACTGAGCTACTTCAGATAAAATAACCCTCATCTATGAGGGTAGTCTATGAGTCAGTAGACATGGAAAAAATGCTATTTCAAGAGCATCTTAGTAAAATTGAACAGCCAAATCAGTCCTTCAGGAGTAAATATGCTTCATTTAAGAAGAAAGGACATAGAAGTCCAACTTCACAGACACATTGTCCCTCCTAGGCATGCTGGGCTCTGCATATTCACTTTGCACAAGGCTGTTTGAGGACAAGTGGGATGTCCAGCACTGTGTAGCCAGGGAGTCATCTAAACAGTAAATCTGACAGCAGTGTAAGTAGTGCTGTTTTACTATGCCGAAGGATACCCAGCCCATGATAACCAGTGTGCATCATCTTTGGACTGGTGACTTTTAAAAAGACTGTGTTGGTGTGTTTTAATTTAGAGCTACATATAAGGTTTATTGGGCAGTCTTGCAGCAAGTGTAACTTTAAAATCACAGTACCTCTTTCCTACCTGAACATTCCAAGGAACTCTGCTGCTGACAACAGCAAGAGTAATTATCCATATTTCCTTACTGTTGGTTGGCTTCTAAGCTTGGCCTGCTAATACAAAGGAAAAAGCAATTGTCTTGTTCAATGAGGTGAGAGCTTGATCCAGATTTTCTGCTTGCTTAAGAATTTGTGCATTTCAAAGCTGTGGTCCCAAGCCTAGATTTTGAAGGTGTCTTCATAGTGGGAATATTTACAAAGTTCATAAATGTGGATAAATTCAAATGATAGAAAAAAATTTCTAGTCTTCAGTAATGAATGTTATTGCTATATGTAGTAACAGTAAATAGAAATTAGATAAGTGAGCTCCTCATAAATTTTATGCATATAATGGTGGATGCTTTCAAAAATAAAATATGCAATATAGAGAAACTTTGTATGGTGTAAGTTTGCACTGGCAGACACAATTTTAATTTCCAATCACCTTTTCCTAAATACTGACCTTCATTTTTTTCTTATTTTTGTTATACTCTATTTATTATATTTAATTTTCATTTCTTTCTAGATGTGGGCAGAAGAAAAAGCTAGTGATTAACAATGGCAAAGGGGCAGTGGAGGACAGGAAGACAAGTGAATTAAATGGAGATATCAGCAAATCACAAGAAATGGTGCACTTGGTTCATAAAGAACAGTCAAATGACCGAACACAAGCATGCGATGAATTCCTGACTGTTAATGAAACACAAAATCATCACGAGTTTGACATGAAGACTGGAGTGTAATGGTACCACACTGCCAAGCAGATCAGGGCTGGGGAAGCCAAAATCATGTGGAACTTGAACAGGAATTCACAGATGCACTGTGCTACTGATGTCTTTTGAAGATAAGCATAAGTTCTGTTTCTTTTTAATCACTTTGCAATGACGCCTGAGTTTAAAAATTGACATGTGCTTTCTGAAATACACCCCCAAGAGTTGCATAATGCTTTCAGTTCCCAGTCCCTTCACAGAGGACTCTCACTGTGTCCTGGATGTTAGGAGGCATACGAGTTTACATCATTATTCCCCAGATGGAAGGTCTTCACTGTGTGAAGCTAAAGAAGTATCCAGTCACTCCATCTTACAGATATTTAAAGTATAAAAGATGCCATGATAGAGAAATAAGTGAGGAAAAATGTCAAGAGTAAAAAAATCAAGTTTAAACCCAAAAGGCATCTTCTACAATGTCTGCAACAGCAGAATCCTTACGAAATGCCGTCCAGCCAGGAATGGCTGTGGGTACATTCAGAATCTGCCAGTATAAACAAAATGTGACATTTTATAATTATGTGTGGCTTGGTCTGCAACGAAGGAAACCCAGAAGGACAAAATTTATTTATCTCTATTTTTAAATATCTATGGACATACAGCAGGTCTTCTCAGGAGGGGTAATAAAGGCATGAAAACATGAGCTGAAATATAATAAACTTCTTTATTATCCTAGCAACCTGTACAATTATCCTTCAGTTTTTGAGGTGTTCACTGCTCTTCTCCCCACCTCATTCATTGGTCCAAGTTTGTGCATGTTTTTAATGAGCCTGTTAGTTAAGATAATGAATAAAACAAAATGACCCCAGCTCTATCACATATGCACAAATCAAGCAATTGAGGTCACTAGGGAAGCTGACAGTATTTTATTCCTGAAAATAGGTCTCTGTATTCTGCTCCATTTTGGTAAGGAGATGCTGAGCCTATTAATTTTTTTCCTCTATAACTATTACATTACGCAAGATTGCTGATATTTTAAAAGCTGCTTTTCTATGATCTCGCTCATTTCCTCTGAATTCTATTTCATCTACCTTTTTCCCATCAGCTTTTTGAAAACACCAAAAAGAAACATTGTTTGCTTTTTGGTACCAGAAGTTCAATTTCTACAGAAAAGATCAAAGCAAAGGAAAGGAAACTCTTCCCAGCCGTGTAATATAGTAGAGTAGCTGAGCTGCATTGTTACATGCTTTTGTTATGTCCTTTTGTGTCTGTAAAGTATTTGTATTAAGCTATGATGCTGTGCATTATATTGATAAGAATTGTCAGGAAAACAATTATTTACTACCAGTGGTCTGTGCCATTTTTAAGAAAGCTTACTGGAACGGAGGGAGAATTGTAACTTCCAATTGGACTCCCCCCAGGAAATGCAGGGAGAAATGCTGGTCTGTGCCAGCTGTGGGATGTGGATGGTCTGTAGCAGGGCTGTTCAGGAGTTCTGTTCACTGGCCATAGCCCCTGTCTTTGAAACTGTTCTGCTAAAGTGTGTTATATTATGTTCTCCACCTGAAGCAGTTTGGAGGGTGAATATTCAGCTGGCTAAATACTGACTTCAGCTAGCACTGGTCTTTACTGGAACATAAAGCACAAGACTGTTGATTATATTTCTGAGTCACAGCCCTCCAGCAGTTTCCCATGTGCTTCATGGAAATGCTCAAGTGCCCTGGTATCTGCTGGCAGATCTGCTCCGGGCAATTTACACCTGGGCAAAAAGTCCCAAGAGAAAGTGATGTTTTAAAATACACATAAGAGGTTTTTTGGCTTTATGCAGGACAGATATTTCATCTGTGAACAATGCATTGATTCTTGTTTAATGTTTTTAAGCACACTTTTCTATTTGTCATTAGAAATCAAAGTGATCTGCTGAAGGCTGTGTTTAAACTGCTGTTAGGTACTTATTCCACTAAGTATGGAGATCCAGAGTAAGAATTAAAAATCTTTAAATCCTAACTGGGTACAGGTCTCAGTGAGAAGGACATATTTCACTGTCTTGGAGGCTTAACTTCTCTTAAAAAAACCAAAAAGTCTGTGGCATGTTATTCATCTCCCTGTTCAGACATTAAATGAAGAAATCCACAAACTTCTTGGTAATTTATCTTATTGTCAGTAGCTATAAAAGCACAGGCAACACTGGTTGGGTTCTTTGTATATTTTTAAAGGAGAGATGCTCAAGAGGCAATGCCATTATTTTATATATGCTGATTCTTTTTAGGTTATGTCCTGTGACTTATGTGTAATTGTTTCATTATAGTTTCGAAACTAGACAGCCATTTCATATGTATAAAACAGTACATATTTTTATTAATCTTGCTTTTATTATGAGGAGTTGTTTGTTGTGTGTATGTATTTTTATATAGAGCACTTGATATATTTGCATATTTATTTAACAGATTAATCAGAATTAAAGAAAATGCCATCTCTAAATTGTAACTAGAAATAGTATTGCTGAAAACACATCGGACTTTAAAATAAGCTTCCAAAATAAACCAGATTCCACGCTGAGGATGAAATGTAAGTCCAGCTGTTAGTGGGAGAGAAGCCTTCAGCTGGATAGTCATGTTGAGTGCTGTCACCATTTTTTCTGCTTGCAAATTCCAAGCCGGGCTGAGGTGAATGCTGTGTGACCTTGTCTGCTCTGCTGGCCTCCCCCAGGCTCCACGGGGGCTCTGGGGGTTAGTGATGAGCTCAGCTTTAGCCCAGAAGCAGAAAACAGCTACAACACTTGGTTCAGCTAAAGATCAACCCAGTAAGATCTTGGCGACCGTGCCTGGCTCGCTGAACCAACACTTGAAGAGTGCAGCACCCAGCAAGATCCAGACAGACAAATCAGCTGTGACTGACAGATCTCTGTGTCTTGGTCTGTTCCTGCTTGGTGCCCAAGAAGAATGAGGATCTCCCCTAAAAATGCTAAGGAGCCTGCGATCAGCTTCTGTTATTCCTTTGTCTTGAAAAGTTTCACGTAAATGTGATCCAGACCAGTGAAATGCTGTCTAAAGCAGCAAGCATATTTAAGAGAGTCTCTGTATGTTTTATGGGAATGTAATGTTTTCATGAAGCAATGCAGGCTGATTGTTTCATCTGTATTTTCTTGAAGTTCTGAAAAGGAATATTTGATTAAAGCAGAGAAAGGATGTGCAGCTGTCATGTCTACCTTTGTGGATGTGAAACCCTTTCCACAATACCAGTTCCAAAGTTATAATTTTGTGGTTTTTCATAGGATAGGGATGTTTTTTGTGTGTCCCTTGTCAATAACATCAACCTCTGTACTAATTAGTTTGAAGCATTATGCCTGGAATATTTTTAGGAGACAACTGCCAAGTGTCTCTTTAGCACATATTCTGGTTAGAGCTGGTCCTAATTATTCTTTCTGTAGATGAAGGAATAAATCCTCTGACAACTGTGTTCTGCCTCCACATACAAAGACCCCAGGGTATTTTGTAAGCCATCAGTTAATGGGTTTATTTCAAGCTATATTAGGCCATTAGACAATAATTATTTCTTAAGCTTTATTAAACAGTTCAAGGGTCTAATGCCTCTGAGTCTCTGCAAGAGCTGTAATTGGTAAAATACCTGCCCTTTTGGTAACCACAGGCTCTGACTACTCCTTCTCTGTGCAGGGGAGAAGGACAAAAGGTGCAGGAAAAGGGCTGTTCCCTGGGGTGTGGTTCCAGCTGTGGGGGAGTGGATGACAAAATTCCTGTTCCTTAAGGGTGGAAAAAATTGTGCAAAGGTGTTTTGGGCATGAATCTGGGGGGTTCAGGACAGAGGGAGAGCACAATTTCTGGGAAAGGGTGTAAAGGGAGAGTGAAATTTCTGTACTGCAACTGGGAAAGTACCTTCAACACCCCCAGCACTCTGGCACTCGAATATTTCACAACTCTGAGTAGGAAAAAAGAGCCTTTTCCTGTGAACATCCCCCGCCTCCAAGTCATCCTCTACATCTACCACCTCATTTGCAAACTGATTTTGAATTTTCCCCTGGTAGCCTATTTCTCACTGTTGTTCTGCCCTGCTGCATGGCATCCCCCATGCTGGGGGATGCAGCTGTGGCAATGAGGAGAGACACATTTTGGCAAGATGAGTAACAGTGCATTCTGTTAGTGTGTTTTGTCTTCTGTTTCTCACCCCTTTGGAGTAAGGTTAGTAAAGGCAAGATTTCAAAAACATTTCTGTGAGGGACTGATTTGATTTTTATTTATGCCCTAACATATATTACACATGAGGTGAAAAATTACTGGAGGGACTGGGCAGGTGCTGAGAGCCCTGACACATGCCAGGATGCCTGGGAAAAAAATGCCTGGGAAATGGAGCTGTGGGAGCAGCCTTGGCAGGTAAAAGCAGTTACTCTCTCCATCCCCCTTTTTCTCTGGTCTCTTTTCTATCCCACTCTGGTCAGAACCGTATCCTTTATCAATAAATGGTTCTTGGGTGTTTGCTGCTTTTTGGCATTATTTTCACCCAAGAAATCTATCAAAAGGAATCCCCCCCGACTCCTCTCACAGTGGGACGGGACAATTGTGCTCCTTGCTTATCTTCCTGTTCTGAAAGTGCAGGACTGGTACAGACCTTCTCATTGGCCAAGTGACCTGCTGCATAGGGGTGTTTAAAAGTTTTAAAGTCTAGAATTGAATCCACCATCAAAGCAGCTCTCCTGACCTCAAGGCAGTTGATTATTGTCAAAGTACAGGAAAAGCAGGGGCAGTGAAATCTTTAGCTGTGCTTGAAACACAGCCTTTCAATTTTGTCTGAATGGTTCCAGCAACCAATAGAAAGGTTTTGTCTGAGTGGCAACTTCAAGGAGTCTCAGACTTTGTATTTAAAAAGTTTTATTGAAAGGAATTTATTTAGTCCTACTCTACAGGAAAAAGTGTTTTGGATGAAAAAGTGCCACAAAAAGGTGTGCTCTGAATACTGATGTGAATGTCTTTAGTTTTTCTTTAAAAGAAAATTTCAAAAATTATGAGGTTTTGGATCAAACCAAGTCCACAAAATATGTCAAAAAAGAGGATGACTTTTTTTCTCAGAAACAGATGTAGTTTCAGCTAGTTTAATTATTCCAGATAGAAGATACAGCTGTATAAATATCCTTTTTTGTTTGTTTGTTTATTTTTTGGGATTTTTGTTTGTTTGTTTTTCCTTTTTGTTTGGTTTTTTGTTTGTTTTTATTTTGGTATTATTTTGGTTGGTTGGGTTTAGGGTTTTAAGGTTTTTTTTGTGGGGTTTTTTTTTGGGTGGGGGAAGATTCTCCACGTCTAATACATAGTATAGCTTTCCCTTTGTACTAAAATGAAATTCTTAGAAGTAATTTACAGTCTCACTGGAAAAAAAGATATGCAAAAAAACCCCAGGATTGTTCAAGTCTAAAATGTCATAAATTTAAGTGCATTTCCCAGAAAAATCTCCAGCTTTTTTTTTTTTTTTTTGAAAATCAAGTAAAAGTCTCACTCAAACACCCACTTAGACTTTAGGTGAGCAGGTGCCCTTTCTGCAGAGGCCCAGCTGAGATTAGGGGCACATAGGCTGGCAGTGGTAAATCAGCACATGACTCAGAGGCAGTGGAGACTCTGCACATCCAGAAACTTTCAGGTCTGCTGAGCTTGTCCTGAAGTCCTTGTAACTCTCAGAGCAACCCTGGGCAGAGGAAGATGCAATAAGGCATTTTCTGCTCCTCTGAAGGGTCTAAATTTTGTACCTGGCATCTGAAAGCCTTGCCTTGGGCAGCTGGGGTAGGATGGAGTCTGCTTTAACACCCATATTGCATTCTCATGCGGAAGTGTATAAATTGTTTGGTACTGTTTGGTACCAAATGGCCTTGGTACAGCTGAGTTTTAGCTTTAATTCTAAATTTACTTCTAGTCATGATGTGTACATCATCTAGCTTCTGGCAGGACAGAAGGCTTTTCTTTTCTGAATAAATCTAAAAAAAGGCCTCTTAGATCATTTTCAGTGACCACATTTTCCCTTGCATGAATTGAGACTCCACACTTCCATGTTTCTTGTAAGAAACAGTAATAAACTCTTATGTCCCATGATGGGGTTGAAGTCTGAGTTTATATCTATATTATTTATATTTATATTTGGATTTAGATTTAGATTTTATCAAAGTACTTTTTTTTTTTTTAAAAAGCAAGCTTCCTGTTCAGGGCTGCTGCTGCAGATTGCTAGCAGCACCTTACCAGAGCTAGCTTAGGGAGAGTTCCCTGCAGCTGGGTTTATCTAAGGTGAGTCCATGACAGCCGAGCCCCACACACGAGACACAGTGATCTCAGCTGACAACTGCACACCAAGGGAGAGAAGAATGCTCCTGCACATGCTGTGGACTACAGCCATCAGTGATATAATCCTCAGAGCAAATGTTGGGCTCCTTTTACTTTTTGGATCCACAAACTAAGCTCTGTTTTGGCTTTGTTCAAACATTGCCTGTCTATCTGGAACCTAGTGTGCAAGTACCTGGAGTTTGTGTTCCTGTAAAACTGTTTCACAAGCATCTCCTTTGTTCAGCAGGTTTTGTTTTCCAGCAGTAGGTCTTCAGATTCACTAGCTTTATAGTTCTTGGGTATTTCCTTGAAGTTCTTTAGTGGTTTATTTTCTAGTTAATCTTTCTTTCATTAATCAAGTGCAAGTCTGAAATTAACTCAAGGTAGGGATGTTTGTTTGTTCAGCCAGTAATTTAAAAACAAACTCACCCTTTGTTCAAGAAGGTTGACTTCCCCCCTCCACCCATGAAGAGGACGGGTATAAAGCCTGCCCATTGTTTACTGGCTGGTCAAAAATGGGAAAAGCCTGGTTCAGAAACAAAGGTGAAATGATCCAGTCAATTTAGATAACACCAGTAACCTGGGTGAAATAATGAAATTATTTTTGAGTGCATTTCCTAGCTTGGAAATGCTAGGAAGGCAAAGAGCTTCCTTCGTGTCCCTTCACCGCTTCACAGCTGCCTTTTCTCCCCTGCACATGTGCTCAGCAGCATTTCTCCAGTGGGATCCAGGGATCACAGCAGAGTGATCCATGCAGCCTCTTCAGGCACCCCAGTAGAAAACAGCCAAATGGGAGACTGATCTGTTTTACAAATGACTACATGAAAAGCAAACATTTTTAGTTCAGTCACAAATGAGAATGAAGAGCACGCCACCATGTAAAACAGACCCTATGTTGCTCTTCTAAATGCCCATCCCTGCACTTCAGAAGCCCTACCAAGAGTGTGAGGCCTTGCTCCTCCAGACCTTGTTCCTGTAGTTTTGGTGGGCAGCAGTCAGTTTTGTCATTTATCTGTGTACACAGACACATCTTGTTTATCACCACAGAATGTGCCTGCCCCAGCCACCAGGACCATAAGCCCTTATCTTGCATGCAATCTGTTTCCCTGCCTGCCTGCTCTGCATGCTGCACAGTCAGACAGCAGGCAGTCACCTGCCCAGCCTGGGAGGCTGCCTCAGCTTTGGGAGCCTGCACAGGGCCCTGCACAGCTTTGGAAGCAGAATGGCACCAAGCCCTGCTGGGGGGTTTGTACATTACTGCAATGCAGGTGCTTTGGAGCTGCTAATAACCCAGCCCAACTGAGTGTAGTTTCTAATGCTGTTTTCCTCCTAAAGCATTGTACGTTGGGGCCACCTGTTTGTTTCATAACCTGGTCCTGTTCACCTGTGCTATCTAATACAAAGGAGAAGATTGTTTCCAATATAACAACCCTGAAGTATTATCTCAGTTGTTCTTTCATGCCTTAGAGGAGATACAGAAATATCTCTTAATATGGGTCCATGATTCATAACTCACTGGCTTTTATATCCCCTTTTAGCAGATTCTTTCCTGTAGAGAGGAACACATTCCAGACACAAACACACTCCTGAAATAATCTTTTTCTCTAAGGCTACAGACATGGGGAAAAGGGGTACAAGGAGCTTGCAAGGGCATAGAGGATCAGCCCTTGGGGTGTGTATTTTCAGAAAGGTCAGCTTCATATAATTGCAGTACTGGTTCCTGCGAGGGTTGGTTATTTTAAGTCACTTTGCAGAAACATTGCTTTGAAAAAAGCAACGTACACAGGTTGGTGTCGAGCCTTTAATTTTAAACTTTCATTCTGCTGTGTAACAGAAGAGCAGACAGATTCCTTTTATGGAAGGAATTTGAACGTACACAG